TCCTAAGCCTGACGTACTGAACTATTCATCTCACGCGGTGACGAGTCGGCAGCCCAGCGAGATGGCCCTGACCCCACTGACAGAGCAGGAGGGTGAGGCTTACCTGGAGAAATGTGGTAGCATCCGTCGCCACACCGTTGCCAACGCTCACTCTGATATCCAGCTCCTGGCCATGGCCTCCATGATGCACACAGGAATGGTCATTGAGGAGTCAGACAGTACGGACAAATGCCTCCTCCTGCAGCCCAACTGTTTTAGCCCCAGGCAGTGCTCCAGTGAGCCCAGTATTGCTGATGGGCCAGAGGGAGTTGTGCCAGCAGCAAATAGACAGGACTCTGAAGAGCTGAACTGCACGTCGGTCAGCTAGAAGAAGTCTGAGAACTGTGTGCACTAAGCTGGACAAAGTGTTGTGTCATCCCTGCTGGGAAAAAAAGAGAAATATTTGAATTTTGCTTATGCCATTGAAATGGCCTTGAGGGTTCTCATGTCTCTCTAGATTTGTTTTTTACCAGTCTGGGATCATTGTTGATGGAGGTACCAGGCTGCTCTCAAATGACCACTGAGGGCTGCAAAGGTTTTGCTGTTGAACAGTGAGGTCTCCCTTCTGTAAGCTTTTCTTCCACTACTAGTAAAAACCCTTCAGGATCAGATTTCCTTCTGGTTTTTTGGTATGATACAAATTGACCTCTTTCTGCTCTCCATCTTTTCCAGTGTTGTGCTGCTTGTTTGCTCTTCGTTCCTGCAGAAGAATCTTCTGTGCTTAATGTTCTCTTTGCTTCTGGTGCTAGTGTGGTGAACGCCAAGGACTGCATATTTCTCTTTTAAAGTTGAACTCAGGGATGAAACCATTTGCATCCTGCAGAAAGGTCTGCTAAGGTGGCTTGTGAGAGAAGGAGATCCTTCACTTTGCCTCCCATGGGCATGGATGAAAAGTCCAAATCAGAATAGATTAGACTTCCTTTTTTGCCGAGACCTGAGGAGAATTGAGCGTACATGGAGTCCAAGCCGAGTACTTTGTATGTACTTTATTTGGCTCTTGTCATATCTTGAGGGTTGTGGTATAAACTGGGTGGGTATAAACAGGGTTGGGTGTGTAAATTGGGTGCAAAATATAATCCCAAGCATCTTGGCATTTGGTGTTAATTGCTCTCAAAATTATGATGCTGCTAAGGCTACAATGAAAAGAGCAAACTAAATGGATTCCTTTGGGAAGGAGATACTGGGCAGAGTCTGCACTTGTGCAGGAGACATAAAGGTGCTTTTCAGCACTGGGCCATTGTCACTCCAGACCAGGAGGTGATGAACAGGATTTCATCCTTGGGCTAACCTGGTACTTTTAGCAATTGCAGGTTTCATGAGACCAAAGATAAACAGTGGGATGCAGAAAGGAATCCTGTCTCAGTAGTGTATTCATGAAGTGCTCCTGACCTCCAGTGGTATCTGACTCAGTGCACTATTGCTTTTCAGATAAAGCAAGGGCTCTTTGCAGTCTTTGGTTTTGTTTTCATATTGAAGATTAAGAGTGGGTCCAGTTTGCAAGTGTCTATGTCAGGCACTGCAGTGTCTGCTTTGTAGCATCACTTGGTACTCAAATGCTGCTTCTACAGGAACAGAACCAATCTGTTCAAACTGTCCCCTAGGATACTCTGCTGATGTCTTGCTAAGCAGATTTGCAAGTGTAATTACAAACTTAGAGGTGAACTGAAATGCTGCCTGAAATGTCATATCCCATTAAAAATATGGACATAACACAACTACCACTTGAATCTAGTCCTTGTGGTACTGACTGTAAATAAATCTGTCTTGACAAGGAAACAGAAGGTTAGGATGAGCCTTCAGGAGGTTTTCTTGTATGCTACAACATTAACTGCAGAATTTGCCCTGTTTCTGTTGGGCATTAAGCATCTTCTGCTCCACTGGCTGCACTGAAAGTACAGCTCTGACCTGTCAGGATTTGGCCTTAGTAGCATGTGCAGCAGAAAGAAAGCAGATTATTATTCAGTTACAAAGCACCAGGAATACCAGCTGTGAGCACAAGCCACACTGCCTTTATAAATGAGGGTGTTGCTTTGTCTACTGTGGTTTGCAAATGCTGAAAGGGATACTCAAAAGGGCCTCCTTTTCCTTGCCATCACCTGAGGCACCCTAGCTGTTGGCCTTTGTGGGAACACCAAGTATTTCAATGTGTGTCTGTGCTTACATGTTGAAGAAGAGATTCACTTGTGCTGGCTGCATTGTCCTCAGAACATGCACAATCCAGTGGAGGCCAGGGAGAAATGGCTTTCAACAGTCTTCCCTTCAGATGGATTATAGGAGAAAGTGCTCTCCTATTCATAAATTCATAAATTGTACCAACTTATTTGTTGCCATCTGCCCCAGGGCAGCTGTGGGTTGTCGTGGAGCCTCAGTCTCTGTGATGACAGCCAAACCCATGCTGGACTCACCTTGGTACAGTCTCTCCAGGGCAGATGATGCCATCCCACTTAAAAGTAATTTCTTTGGCCCCTTGCAGTGATTTAAAGCCTTCTCTTAGTCACACTGAGGCATGTGGGAAGGTGATAATCCTGCAGCATTTCAGTTCACTCTTAAAAATGCTTTTCTTCTTTCTGTTTCTCCTCTACCCCATTTGCCTTCTGTAAATACCCAATCCATTTGGATTAGCGAGCAGCACCTTCTTTTATGGTGAAAATTAGAATGATTTATTTATTTCCCCACAAATTCTTGGATCATCTCTAGGGCTCATAGGAGTTAGTCCTGGTTTTAACTTGAATTTCTTTTTTTTTTTTTTTTTTTTTCTTTTTGTATAATTTGAATTATTTTGGTTTTGTGTCTGTTACTATGCAAAAATTTGCACCGAGCCCTCTGAATCATGCACTTGTTTTGTTTGTTAGGGAGAATTAAAACTGGTGGCTTTACTTTGTAAACTGAAGTAAACAAAACTTGTTCTGTAAACCACACTGGGTATATGGTCATGAGCACCACTTTTAGAGCTGTGTGAGATTGCACAAACCTCTGCAGGTGAACACCCTTCACAGGCAGACTGGGTGAGATGGGAGTGGTGGGTGACATGAGAAACATTTGCATTTTGGATACAGGGTTCTGGTTTGGGGTTACACTTTGTTGCTCACCATGTCACACAAGCATTACAGGGCCACAGGGCATGTCTTTTCTACCCTCATGGTCACCAACTTGAGAAAACCTCCCAAAAGAGTGTCAGAATGGGAAGAAGGGATTTCTCTCACCACCTCCCAAAGTCTCTCTGTTACCTTCTAACTTGATAATTGCCTAGACTGAGTCACTTCTCATCACACCAAATCTGTCTCCTCTTTTTACTCTGTCTCCTTCTTAAGGTAAGTGATTTATTTTGTGTCCATATAATTCTGTCATAAACTTACTGAGGGGGCCTCAGCAGAAAGCTATTCTTAGTACAACTAGCCTTTCTCCTGTCATTCCCCATAAGCAAGCAGCATGTTTTTATTGCCAGCAAGCAGAGCTTATTCATCCCTAGCTGGATGGGCAGGAACTTGGTTTGGTTTTATTTCTTTCAAGCAGAAGAAATGCAGTAGATGTTGGTGCTGGCACTGATGGCAGCAGGGGGAACACTGCAGGGTTTGGACTGATGCTGAACTAGGATATTGCCCTTTCTTTTTAGGTCCTAATGGCAATGGGTTCAGCTGGAAGGAATGATCTTTTGGCACTTACAACTCTTGAGTCAACAGACTGAAATGTTTGGCTTTTACAGGCAATCTGTGTCCCAGAGAGGAGAAACTGAGGGTCTAGTGAGAGACAGGTTATGGTGTTTAAGGTGTGCTTATGTATGTGGACTTCTAAATTCTGCTGTAGACTCAGAGTAGCAAGTTTTCCTAACTGGATTCCCTTTTCCTTCCTAACCTGGCTCCTTCCCCATGCCAGCAGCTGGACTCCTGGGCATGGCACACATCCTATAGCAGGGCAGGGGCACATTCCAGGGAGAGAAAGGGGAGCTGAATGGTGTGGAAACTCAGCCAGAGATGATGAAACTGAGTTCCCAGAATCAGAATTGCAGGTTCTGTGCTAAGAGCAAAAAATGCTGCCTGTGCAGAGAGCTCTAGGCAGGGCCTGCATGACACTCATGGTCACACTCTTGATGGGTCCTTCTCATACTTAGGAAAGGCTGAAAAGGGTGAGGTTTTAAGTATAGGTGCAACACAAGTGAAAATGAGCTTCTCTCCTCACTCAGGACTGAAATTTAGAGGCAGATAAAGATCTATTCAGCTGTGAAAATTGCAGCCAGCAGAAGTGAGTGACTGTGTTTTATCCAGTGATTTCAGTGCCATGGGCTGGGGCCCCTCCTGAGCCACAGTCAGGCTCTTTCCATAGCCCTGCCAGCCTCCTGTGCAGTTTGCTCAGTGGCATGTCTTCAGCAGGTTGTGGAGGAGGTGGGAGAGTGCATCCTCCTCACCCTTTGTGGTAAACCACCCACTCCTGAAAGAAATGTGCACGTCATACCAAGCCACAAATTGGATATCTAAACTCCCAAAAGGGGCCAGGCTGTTCCTTCCCCACCTGGGACAAGTCTCTGCAGAGCCAGCATTGCTTCCCACTCAGGGAAGCAGGTGAGAAAGCAGGACCTACCCTGGTGTGGATGCCCCACAGTGGCCAGGGTTTTCCCAGGGGTACATGAGGTGGAAGTTGAACCCACAGTCAACATGCTCCATAGAAAAGTTGCTGCAAATTTTCCTCTTCGTTAGAAGTGGGAAGAGTGTGGTATTTGGTATCTCCCTGAGCAAAGAGGAGGTAATTAGTCATCTTACTCATGTTTCATGTGGATCCTATTCATGTGGAAGGTGGATCTGGCAGCACAACAGGTTAAATCATAAAATCATCAAATTTTTAGGGGTTGGAATGGACCTTATAGATCATCTAGCCCCAACCCCCTGCCCTGGGCAGGGACACCTCCCACCAGAGCAGGTTGCTCAAAGCTCATCCAGCCTGGCCTTGAACACTGCCAGGGTTGGGGCAGCCACAGCCTCCCTGGGCAACCTGGGACAGTGTCTCACCAGCCTCACAGGGAAAAGCTCACAGTAAAAAACCTCTTCCTAATATCTAGCCTAAATTTCACCTTCTTTAATTTGAATCTGTTACCCCTTGTCCTATCACTGCACTTCCTAACACACAGTCTTGCTCTGGCTCCCCTGTAGCTCCTTCAGATATTGGAAGATAGCTCCATGCCACATTCTCTTCTCCAGGCTGGACAACCCCAACTTCCTCAGCCTGTTCTTGTAGGGATTTTCTTACTTGTCCACATGTTTGGAGAGTGCTTTATTTTCCCTTTGCTATCCCAACAGCTTGTGGTAAGGACACCAAACAGTCAACTACATAAACAAA